ACACTCACCTTGGATTAGGCATTTCCTCTCTCATCTCGTCAGCAGCTACTTGCTGTCCCAACTTGCCAATTTGGTTGTGAGGAACAAATGACATGATCTGTGTTTTGAATACCATAAAGCATGATGGGACTGCAAATAAAAATGTATTGATTATTTGTTACATGTTGATTGTATTCCGGGCACTACCCTCAATCACTATGTGGATGCTATGATTGAATGTGTCTCCCAAATTTCTGTATTAGAAACTTACTCTGCAATACAGCAGTGTAGGGAGATGGATCCCTTTGGGAGGTGTTGCCCTCAGGAATGGATTAATGCTGTTATAAAAAGGTTTGAGGGAAGGAGTTTGGCCCTTTTGCCCTTCTACCTTCTGCCATGCAAGGACACAGCATTTCTCCTCTCTGGAACTTGCAGGATTCACTGTGAGATCTTAGAAACAGAGAGCAGCCCTCACTAGAAACCAGCACCTGATCTTGGACTTCCAGCCTCCAGAACTGTAAAGAATGAATTTCTGTTCTTTATAAATTACCCAATATATAGTATTCTGTTATAGCAACACAGATAGACTAAGATGGTGGATTGTCACATTTTTATCTTCAAAACAACTGTCCAGGATAATACTACTCTTGCCATTCTGCACATGTGTAAACTGAGGCTGCAAGAGATGCGTGGCTGTGATCGTGCATCTTACTTGCTGGTCAGTGATAGAGACAAGGTTCAAATTCAGGCTGGCTGAATGCAGAGCACACATTTATTTATTGTGTAGTCTCTAGGGTACTAATAACAGCTTTATGTATTGGAGCAGTGGTTCTCAACCAGAGCTTGTGTTACCGCTAGGGGACATTGGCAGAATCTGGAGTTACTTTTGGTTTGTCATAACTGGGGACAGGACAAGAAGGCTACTGGCACCAAGTGGATAGAGGTGAATATCCGAGAAAGCCCAGGACAGTTCTAACCACAAATAATCATACAGCTCAACATTTCAGTAGTACTGAGGTTAGGAACAATACTTTGTCTTGTTTAATCTGGATTTACTGGTGTGAGTCAGATTTATTTTATTTAATCATTGTTTTTTTCTTTACTTTTTTATTTTGTGAGACAGAGTCTTGCTCCATTGCCAGGCTGGAGTGCAGTGGTGGGATCTCAGCTCACTGCAACCTCCGCCTCTCAGGTTCAAGCAGTTATCCTGCCTCAGCCTTCCGAGTAGCTGGGACTACAAGCACACGCCATCATGCCCAGCTAATTTTCCTATTTTTAGTAGAGACAGGATTTTACCATGTTGGGCAGGATGGTCTCCATATCTTGACCTCATGATCCGCTCACCTCGGCCTCCCAAAATGCTGGGATTATAGGTGTGAGTCACGAGGCCAGCCAATCATTTTTTTTTTTTTCTTAACCTTGTTACTCAGTAGTAATTTTGTGATTTCTTAGGCTTTAAAAATACAGGCAGAATACTTACAATGCGTGTTTTCAAAGGTACCTTTTTCCCTTTTATTTGCTATTTAGTTTTATAGATAAACTTACTTGTAAGTTTCTATGGAAAAGGGAAAATTAGAAACATTTTTGCTGCTGAAACTACCAGAGGTCACTTTGAGTGAGGGAGGATTTGTAGGAGTTTCCAATCTGAAAACCTTTGAAATGCTTTGTATTTATTTATTTTGAGACATGGTCTCATTCCGTCGCCTGGCCTGGAGTACAGTGGCATTATTTCAGTACACTGCAACCTCCACCTCCCGGATTCAAGCGATTCTCCTGCCTCAGCCTCTCAAGTAGCTGGGATTACAGGCGCCCATCACCATGCCCGGATAATTTTTGCATTTTTAGTAGAGACGGGATTTCACCATGTTGGCTAAGTTTGTCTTGAACTCCTGACCTCAAGTGATCCGCCCCTCTTGGCCTCCCTGTGTTGGAATTACAGGCGTGAGCCACTATGCTGAGCTTGAAATGCCTTTTATTTGTACTAAAAGTCAAGACAGTGCACATTGATGTGGTGCCTGAAATTACTTTTTCAAAATATTATTTTGATTAAGTACATAACACAACTCAGAATAAGTTATGATGGTTTCAAGTTTGCAAGGGATTCTTTGCAACCTATTTTAGTATAGATTGAGTATCCCTAATCTGAAAATTCAAAATCACGATGCTCCAAAATCAGAAACGTTTTGAATGCCAACACGATGCTCGAAGGAAATGCTCTTTGGAGCATTTTGGATTTTGGATTTTTGAATTAGGGATGTTCAACCGGTGTAATGTAAATTTTCCCAAATCTGGAACACTTCTGGCCCCAAGCTCTTCAAATAAGGTATACTCAACCTGTAATTCAGAATGAAAGATAGTTGTTAAAGATGTGCATTTCAAAGAGTATGGAAAGTTTCCAGCAGGGTGTTTTCCTTACATTTGTCTTTATGAGGTGTATTCTGTGAAGCCTTGCTTCCTGCAAGGATTGAGCCCTGTGGAAGCAGCAGCAGATGGATTCCCAAGCCTGATTTTAGTGTGCTACTTCCCCAGTTGACAGTGTATCTGTCCTTCAAGAGTCGTTAAGAGTTCTTGTCTTTAGCTTAGTCCTTTTTACATGTTTCTCTCTGACACTGGCTGGACTGCACACTAAGAGAATTATAAATAGAGTTTCCCCAAAAACATTTTATTACGAAAAGTTTCAGAATTACTGCGAAGTTGAAAGGCTTATACACTAAACACTCACATACACTATCACTTAGATTCTATAGTTAACATTTTGCTATATTTTGTCTCCCACATATCTAGCCATCCATCAATTCATCTTTTTTTTTTTTTAAATTATACTTTAAGTTCTGGGATACATGTGCAAATTTGTTGCATAGGTATACACATGCCATGGTGGCTTGCTGTACCCATCAACCCATCATCCAGTCCTCCCTGTGTCCCTGTGTTCTCATTGTTCACCTCCCACTTATGAGTGAGAACATATGGCCTTTGGTTTTCTGTTCCTGTGTTAGTTTGCTGAGGATGATGGTTTCCAGCTTCATCCATGTCCTTGCAAAGGACATAAACCCCATCCCTTTTTATGGCTGCATAGTATTCCATAGTGTATATGTGCCACATTTTCTTTATCCATTCTGTCATTGATGGGACATTTGCGTTGGTTCCAAGTCTTTGCTACTGTGAACAGTGCTGCAGTAAACATACATATGCATGGGCCTTTATAGTAGAATGATTTATAATCCTTTGGATATATACCCAGTAATGGGATTGCTGGGTCAAATGATATTTCTGGTTCTAGATCGCCACACTATTTTCCACAATGGTTGAACTTTACACTCCCACCAACAGTGTAAAAGCGTTCCTATTTCTCCACATCCTCTTTAGCATCTGTCGTTTCCTGACTTTTTAATGATCGCCATTCTAACTGGTGTGAGATGATACCTCATTATGGTTTTGATTTCTCTAATGACCAGTGATGAAGAGCTTTTTTTTATATGTTTGTTGGCCACATAAATGTCTTCTTTTGAGAAGTGTCTGTTCATATCCCCCAGTTGCTCTGTCCCAGGGAGATGGAAGTTTTATCTGTAAGCCTCTGACTGGGGCTGCTGTATTTTTTCAGAGATGCCCTGCCCAGAGAGGAGGAACCTAGAGAGGCAGTCTGGCTACAGAGGCTTTGCCATGCTGTGGTAGGCTCCCTCCAATTCAAACTTACCAGCAGCTTTGTTTACACTGTGAGGGGAAAACCGCCTACTCAAGCCTCAGCAATGGCAGACGCCCCTTCCCTCACCAAGCTCGAGCGTCCCAGGACGACTTCAGACTGCTGTGCTGGCAACGAGAATTTCAAGCCAGTGGGTCTTAGCTTGCTGGGCTCCATGGGGGTGGGATCCATTGATCTAGACCTTGGCTCCCTGGCTTCAGCTCCCTTTCCAGGGGAGTGAATGGTTCTGTCGCGCTTGCGTTCCAGGCACCACTGGAACCCAGGGAGCCAGCCCAAATGGCTGCCCAGTTTTGTGCTTGAAACCCAGGGCCTTGGTGGCATAGACACCAGAGGGACTCTCCTGGTGTGCATGTTGCGAAGACCACGGGAAAAGCATAGTATCTGAGCCAGAGTGCATTGTTCCTCACAGTACAGTCCCTCACGGCTTCCCTTAGATAGGGGAGGGAGTTCCCCGACCCCGCGAAGACCACGGGAAAAGCATAGTATCTGAGCCAGAGTGCATTGTTCCTCACAGTACAGTCCCTTGAGGTTCCCTTAGATAGGGGAGGGAGTTCCCCGACCCCTTGTGCTTCCCAGGTAAGGCAACAGCCCACTCTGCTTTAGCTCACCCTCCATGGGCTGGTACCCACTGTCTAACCAGTCCTGGTGAGATGAGCTGGTTACCTCTGTTGGAAATGCAGAAATCACCTGCCTTCTGCATTGATCTTGGAAACTGCAGACCAGAGCTGTTTCTATTTGGCCATCTTGCCAGCCACCAGTTCATCTTTTTAATGCATTTCAAAGTAAATTGCAAGTATTAGTATATTTTAGTATATTAGTGTATAAACTTATTAAGCAAACATTTCTGTACTAATCTTTGCATTATTCCTCTGTCATTTAAGTTTGGCTTTTGAAATAGTTCATTCTTAGCAAATCAGAAATCAAATTCTTTTGCAGCTCTTTGGTTTGTTTTTTTCCTTAAGACGAAGTCTTTAATATATTGTTGGACTGGAAATGGGTAACTATTACCCAAAATATACAAACTTTAGAATTTTTAACTGTATTAAATCTTTCTGAATTTTCTTCTGACTGTAATTCAGTGTTCCTCTTTCTGCTTACATTAAAGTAATTTTGGATATGTATATTCTTTTAGATACCTTTGTCTGGATATGGAGGAACAAGTAATCTTATTTTGGAAGGCGTTAAAAAATTATCTGACAGTTACATGGTAACAGTGAATGGCTTAGTACCTGGCAAAGAAAGTAAAATCGTTTTTTCTGTCCGCAACACTGGCTCCCGAGCAGCTTTTGTTAAAGCAGTAGGTTTTAAGGATTCTCAGAAAAAAGTTTTGCTGGATCCTAAAGTATTGAGGATTTTTCCAGATAAATTTGTACTCAAGGAAAGAACACAAGAAGTAAGTATAAAAATTTCTGTGCTAAAAACATCAACTCATTTTAAAATTAAGTTAATAATTATGTATTTTAAAGCCAAAAGCTAAAATAATATTTGAAAATAATGTACAAGTAGAAGTACTTATATGTTCTTGGAAATGCTATGCATCTGCCCTTGTGTCTATATCGAATTTTTAGGCTCGTAAGATTGTTGAATCAGAGTGAAATGACTTAAGAAAGATATTTAATATTTACTCCTGTTTTTTTTTTTTCTTGGCCTCAGGATGTTACTTTAATATATAATCCATCAGACAGAGAAATCAATAATAAAACTGCAACAGAACTATCAACTGTATACTTATTTGGTGGAGATGAAATTTCAAGACAGCAATATCGAAGGTAAATTACTTATCTTACGCAATGTCAGGAACCATTCAGTAGAAATGATGAAAGCTTCAGTGGCTAGGAATTTGGAATTTTTAGAACGTATCACTATTTATTAGCGAACTGGTAGATGAAATATCTTGATAGGATTTATGTGACTAATGAGCTACCACAATGTGAGGAAAAAATACCTGTAGGAAACTCATCTCCTGTATTTTCTTCGAATGTGCCTTCTTTTTTGGACGTAACTATTGTGCCACTCTTCCCTTACTCAGTAGGTGCATCATACTTCATAATAGGACCATTTTCATAATGTACTCTTGATGACATGTCCAGAGACAGTGTGTCAGTTTTATAAAAGATTTAAGAACTACTGAATGATTATATTGTATAAACACTGGGGACTAGTTTATAATATTTCTGGGAATGCTGTGAATTATTTGAAAGGATCAAGTTGAATTTTTGAAATGTGTAAGATGTTTAACTTGTAGCTACTTAAAAAGTGTGAACTGCTGTAAAATCTGATATATCTAATTTAAATTTAGGGCGGGTTAACTGGCTCATGACCAGCACTTTGGGAGGCTGAGGTGGGAGGATTGCTTGAGGCCAGGAGTTCAAGACCAGCCTGGGCAAAATAATGAGACCCTGTCTCTACAAAAGAAATAGGAAATTTAGTTGGGTGTGGTGGTGTGCACCTGTAGTCCTTGCTACTTTGTAGGCTGAGGTGGGAAGAAGATCACAGTCCCAGGAGTTCAAGGTTGCAGTGAGCTGTGATTGCATCACTGCACTCCAACCTGGGCAACAGAGCCCAGACCTCTCAAATAAATAAACAAGCAAGCAAATAAATAAATGCAACAGAGCCAGACCTCGCTCATAAATAAATAAATAAATAAATAATATAAACATAGTTTGATATGCTGAACTGTTGGAAAATTTAGGGTATTGATTAAGGTTTAGGCCTGATTTAAACATGAATTCTCTTACTGTAAAGTGTAGCTTCCTAGTTTAGAGGATCTAACATAGGATGAGTGCGACTCATGGTGTGTCATCTGCTAATAAAAAATCATTAGAAAGGGGATGTGAAGGAATACGCCTGTCTCCTTCTGAACCTTTGTGTTTGGCTGTGTTTTATTCTGATACAGAATTTGGGAAATTGTTTTGTTTTTAATTTGTTGAGTGTCATTGGAATGTTTACAAGAAGGAATTTAATGGTGACTTGCTACATAATGTTAGAACAGACCAAATGAAAAGCTTGCCTTTGAACCTGGTTTCGTGTCTTAATTATTTTGGAAATAGAAACTGGCATTTAGAGAAATCACATTATGAGGTATTCTGATGTTTTTCTTTCTCTCCATTGGGATATAGAAATCAGCATATTGTTTTCAAACTCATCTTTGCCGTAAAGTTTATAGTAATGACATTTTCTTTGTGGACATCTGAGTATTATAGAGAAATTTACATTTCAGTTTTCTCACCTCAAAGATTTTCTGGAAGGAATCAGATAAATGTAGTTATATGGTAATTTAAATATTCCCCTTCAAATCTTTTCATTTTTTACCAAGTTCTTTTGTGTTCTGAGACAAATTACCAAATTATCACAAATAATGAAAATGTAAGACTTGAAAAGAATCTAAGTTAACTCTTCTTGCTACTGTTCTTTTAAGGAGTTCTTATTTGATGTTAATATTTAACTGAGACTGATAATTTTACTACAAGTGTAATTTTTGAGGAAACTTCCAAAACAGGTTTTCTTTTAAGTATAAAGTCTATGTACTAATGTATCAATATAAGTGGAATTTGCCAAATGCATTAGTGAAAATCCAATTAAAGTCATTTTATATATAGTGTCACTTTTGAATTTAAAAAAAAAAAAAAAATCTCTCCTGGCAGGGCCCTGTTACATAAGCCAGAGATTATAAAACAGATACTTCCAGAACGCAGTGTGCTTCAAAACATTAATTTTGCTGAAGCATTTCAAGATGAGCTATTAATAACTGAAGGTAAGAATTTCAACATGTCTTGTTTGGGTCATTTATAGTATTATCTAGGTCCAGTGATGTGATACAAGAAGGAAGTATAAGTTTAGATACAGTGTTAGGCAGAGTTTGAGCCATAGCTCTGCTGTATGAGTTTGAATGAATTACATCATTGAATGTCAGTTTTCTTATCTTGTAAATGGGAAGAAAGGCGATGTCTAACTTTGCATCCATACGGAGTTGTTATAAGGATTCGATGAAAGAGCTTTGCTGCTGTATAAATGTTACATGTTACTAATACTTTCTGCATTTATTCTCTAGGCAGGCTTGTAAACAGGAAGAGGGAAATGGTCATTGTTAAATCAAATTAATTGCTACTTATATTTGATTGCAAACTCCCACTCATTTTGAGGTTACTGTGCTGTAGTGCCTTTTGTAAGATTTATGGAAGATGTAGTGGTGGCAAAAAAAAAATCAAAATAGACAGTAATGAGGTGACACTAACCTAGATGGTTAGCCCTGTTTCCACTAAACATTTCAAATATTTAACAACATTTATTATTCATACAAAATAGAAATATATTGAGACATACAGACTGTAAAAATATATATACAGATTTTCACCATGGTATTGTTTATAATAGCAAGAAGTTAGAAGTAACCTATTTAATGCCCAAGACTCGGGAGTCATTTAATTATGCAGTAGAATATTTTGAAGCCATTAGAACAATAATATGAATCTGTACTGAATGACATAGAAAGCTCTTCATTTATTACAAAAACTTTTTGAAGTTTGCAAAGTAAGATCTCATTTTGGTAAAAATTATTACATATATATTTACATAAGTAAGATCACATGCATATATACACCAAAATAATAAGTGGCTAGTTTTCTTGGTGGAATAAATTTCAGGTGGTAGCTTTTTCCTGTTTTTATTTTCTAGTTTTTTAATGATAGACTATGTTTTGCTTCTGAAATACGAAGTGATAGAAGGATATGTATGCCATGGTAGGGATGACGTTGAGTAGTCTGTGAACTTTTCAGTAAAGTGGGTGTCTAGATCATCTCCTCAAAGGGAAGGCAGGGATGAGGTGATTAAAAATGACAGAAAGACTTGGAATGGACTTCTCAGGAGTGTGCTAAAGGAACAGAACAAAGGAAAGGAATCTTGGATTTGGAGTTGAAACTCAAGACTCATCTGTCCCACTGCAGAGCCACCTCTTCCTCATAGGAAGGATCAAAATACAAGTTAAGCTGTGAAGACTGTAATTTAAGTAGGGAGCAGTGGTTCAGACGCTGGCATAGTTCCATCATATGACAACAGTCCTCTCATTGAATGGTGGATGCATCCGGAGAGGACAAGGTGCCAGCCAGTTTGTGGACACTGGATGTAGAGGTACCAGATGCAGTCCTTGTCCATGAGGGGCTTACAGACTCAGAGGAAGACAGATGACTCAGGTGTGATGTGAAAAGGGCTGTGAGAGAGAGAGCTGTGTTTAGGAATCTGGGAGGGTACCTTACTTGGAGATGATTCTTGAGGTTTACTTGAAGAGGAGGAGTTGGTGAAGTGGAAAAGATGGGACCAGAGTGAGGAAGAGTGCCCCAGGTAGAGCTGCATGTCCAAAATAAGTACACATGTTGTACTAACAGTTGTGTTGACACAGCCAACCAAGAGCTCAAGTAGCCTGTCAGAATCACCCATCTAAGATGGGGTTGAGTTGGGACTTAGGCCAAGTCTTTGGGACACCAGAATTTCACCTCAAGGAGTACTGTTTTCCTTGTGATTGTAAGTTTATTGTCCAGATGAATGGAGGAAACAGTTTCACTTTTTTGTGTTGGTTAGTACCATAGATCACCTGTGAAAACACTGCAGTTGAAGCTTTTATGGGATGAATTTCAGTAACATTTGCATGAGCATGTTACTATTCTAAGGATTTGTAACAATCTTGCTTTTACAAAATGTGTAATTTGTGGCACATGTTTTTGTAGTCGATTTAAACTTTTTCAGTTAGGAGACTTGGTTAAGTTATAAATTTAAATTTATAATTACTGTGTTCTTTTAAAATTTCCATGTCAAAATATCAATACTTAAAGACTGTCTAATTTATATATAAAATGCCAAGTGTATTTTATAACGTTTCTTATAAATACAAATTTGGGTGGCCTAATCTAGAGATGTTCATCTTGAGCACTATTTCTAGATTTACTTTAAATTGAATGCCTGTGAGACTGCCACTTAAAAATCATGGACCCTTAACCTCTGTGCTTCCAATTCCTTCTCTTTGCAGTGAGGTAATAGTACCTATCTCAAATAATTGTTCTGAAAATTAACTAAATTAATATATATAAAGGGATTAGAACAATGCCCGCATTAAGCTTCATATAAATGTTGCCATATTATATCTACGAAAGCGTTCTTATTTTAATGCTCACAATCCCTGATATAGATCATTATTTATATTATAGCTGAAGAAACTAAAGTTCAGAGAGGTTAAGTAACTTGCCAAAGGTCACAGAATGAATGAGTGGCAAAGGTAGTTCAAATTTAGGTTCCAAACCTGAGCTGTCAGCCACTGGTGCTGAACTGCCTGCCTGTAATTTTGTGCCAGACTGTGTACTACTAATCCAAATGTCACCTCCCCTAACCCCGGCAACTAGTAGTCTATAACTATAAATATATACATATATCTGTTACTTTGTGCTGTGCTTGTGTGAAGATTCATGTATTTCAAACATTATTTTCTATTTCAGTATATGATCTCCCCCAGCGGCCTAATGATGTTCAGCTTTTTTATGGAAGCATGCGTAAAATTATACTTTCAGTAATTGGAGGATTCAGGGATTGCATTTCTAGCAGAGAATTCCTTCAGTCTTCTTCCAAAGCTAGCTTGGAATCTACAAGGTAAAACAAATGAACAGAAATATTTCACCAGATTTCAGGATGATTCGATTCATGGCAGAGCTGATCTTTTTTCCTGTACTTTACTATTATTATTATTTTGTCTCAAAATTTTTATTTCACCTTTATTTTAAATTTAGGTTGAAAATAATTTCAAACTTTCAGGAAAGTTTAAAAATAGTGCAGAGAATTTCCATATAATCTGCAGTCAAACTCACGGTTGTTAACAGTTTACCACTTTATCCTCTATTTGTATAGAACTTTTTTGTATAGAACTCTCTTTCAGAATAGAGTTTCTCAGCCTTTCCTTATCTTTCCTGACTGAGATAATACAGAAGGTTGGATTATTGTATCAGATCCACAGAATCAAAGACTTCATCCAGAATTAAGATTACTGGTAATTTTAGATGAAGCCTGGAGAAGTCTGTGACTGGTGGTGGCACTTCCTAGGTCCTTTTTGCAGCATTAATACTTGAGCTCTTGTTCAGATTTGACACAGTGTCCCTAAATTATGCATGTGCTCCATGGCTTACCTGAAAGGGGGAGTTATATTGAGCATGAAAGTTCTGTTTTGTACTTTGATAATTACATAACTTCTGTGGTAATTTTTCAAATAACTATCCCATAAGATCAGAATCTTAGGTTTCTTTACCACCAATAATTCTAGAAAGAGGAGATATATCTTGCAAAAAGCATTCCATAGATAAGGACATTAGTGTGTTTGTTAGGAGATCTGTCATTAGCAGGATCACCAGGAGACTTCACCAAATCACCCTTCTTTTTTCTAGAGCATTCCTTGGTAAAGAGGAGAAAATAGGTTGTAGGCCAGCTGCTAACCCTTTCTTACTAATGACCTTGATGTTTTTTTATGGAGTCCAGGCCAGTTACTTTGTAAAATATTCCTCAATTTCAGTTTGCAGATTCAAGTTTCACACTTTTGGCAGGAATGACGCTGTTTGTTTTCTCATTGCATCTTTTCAGGCAGTGTACAATGCTGATTTGTCCTGTCACTAATACTGTTTTTTATCACTTAGTTAAAAATGGTCCCCACCAGATTTCTCCACTGTAAAGTTAATGAATACCTTAGAGGGAGTTTCTTAAAGATCATGATTATCTTGTTCCTTATCAAATTTGTGAGCATCCATCGATGCTTGTTGCCTGAATTATTTTCACCATGGTTACCAAAGGATGATTTCTAATTCCATCTTTCTACATTTATTAGTTGGCTTTTTACTATGAGGAAGATACTTGGTTTTGGCCCGTTTTTTTGTTTTTTTTTTTTTTAAGACGGAGTTTTGCCCTTGTTACCCAGGCTGGAGTGCAATGGCGCGATCTCAGCTCACCGCAACCTCCGCCTCCTGGGTTCAGGCAATTCTCCTGCCTCAGCCTCCTGAGTAGCTGGGATTGCAGGCACGCGCCACCATGCCCAGCTAATTTTTTGTATTTTTAGTAGAGATGGGGTTTCACCATGTTGACCAGGATGGTCTCGATCTCTTGACCTCGTGATCCACCCGCCTCGGCCTCCCAAAGTGCTGGGATTACAGGTGTGAGCCACCGCGCCCGGCCCCGGTTTTGGCCCTTTTATGTAATTCTTCACTGATACTGGAGTGGACTCATGGGTGCAGCGTTGATCCTTCACTGTCATTATTTGGTCTTGAATTGCATTCTGGCTTCTGATCCTTTTGATGGGTATTTTTACTTAATCCCCCTATTTTTAACTAATTTTCTCATTGCACACTGCTAACCCAGACTGTCTGAGTGTTCCGTACAAGTCCCAGTGCCACCACCCACCTCTTGTCACCCCTATACATTATGTATATTTTTAAGAGACAGGGTTTTGCTTTGTAGCCCTGGTTGGACTCCTGGCCTCAAGTAATCCTCCTGCCTCAGTCTCCCTGGTAGCTGGGACTACAGGTGCTTGCCACCATTCCCACTTCATTTTGCTTCTTTTCTTTTTGTAGAGGTGGTGTCTTGCTGTGTTGTCGAGGCTGTTTTCGAACTGCTCACCTCAAGCAATCTTCCCTCCTTGGCCTCCCAAAGTGCTGGGATTATAGGCATGAGCAACCATGCCCAGCCTATATACATTTTAAACTATACACAATATGAATACTTTTTATTCATTGAAAAATACCTGATATATAATGCACTTTTAGCTTTGTCTTAAGGTTTTTAAATTTATGAAGAATTAATATAAAAATATGTGATACAATCTGGCTTTTTATCATTTTTATTTTATTATTATTTTTTTTGAGATGGAGTCTCTCTTTGTCACCCAGGCTGGAGTGCAGTGGCGTGATCTCAGCTCACTGCAACTGCCACCTCTGTGGTTCAAGCAATTCCCCCGCCTTAGCCTCCTGAGAAGCTGGGATTACAGGCACATGCCACCACACCCAGCTAATTTTTTAATACAGACAGGGTTTTTTTTACCATGTTGGTCAGGCTGGTCTCAATCTCCTGACCTGGTGATCTGCCCACCTTGGCCTCCCAAAGTGCTGGGATTATAGGTGTGAGCCACCGTGCCGGGCCCTTTTATCGTTTTTAACTTTTCTCTCTGTCTCTTTCTTCTTATCTAACTTTTTCATTTTTTAAATGATTTTTTAGCGACTTGGGAGCTTCTGGGAAACATGGTGGCAACATCTCTTTGGATGTTTTACCAGTCAAAGGTCCTCAAGGTTCTCCTCTTCTCTCACAAGCGGCTTGCCCGCCTTCGGATCAGCTGGCCTCTGAAGAGCCGTGGACTGTCCTCCCCAAGCACCTGATTCTGGTAGCTTCTTCTCCTTGTGAGTATGTCACCTGTGACACCTCAGAAGTGTGTTCTGGAGTCCAGGCCTGCCATTCCTTTGTACCCACGGCTCATCCAGGACACACATGGGATCCTGCACATCAAGCTGTGCCTTGCCCAGGCCCTGCTTCCACTGTTGGAGACCCCACTCAGACTTGCCTGGAGCAGAGTTCTTGTCCCAGAGCCATACTCTTCAACGAGGCTCCCATTTCCCCAGTGGCAGAGCCACACTCCTGCCCACAGAGATACAGCATTGGTTCAGAGTAGAGCAAATCTGCTATGTAGGTGTGTGCTCAAGTTAAGATGAAGCCGTGACGATTTCCAGGTTTCCTTTTTCCTCTTTGATACCAAGGATTGGAAATTTCTTTAATTGAGTATTTGAGAAAGCAGGAGCATATTCATGTATCTATTTAGGTTTCTGGTTTATTAGTTGTTAACATTTGTCTTTTTCAGTATTGTTAAATGTAAGTAACATTTTATTTATCTGACAAAATAGGTGACATGGCAAAAACTGGACGTTTCCAGATTGTGAATAACTCTGTGAGGTTATTGAAATTTGAGCTGTGCTGGCCAGCTCATTGCCTCACAGTCACACCGCAGCACGGATGTGTCGCACCAGAGTAAGTCTGACTTCTATGTTACTCAGATGCTGGCATGGTCGCTTTCTAAGGGTCAAATAATATGTCATTGTAGTTTATCCACTTAAATTTTGGACTGTGCGACTGCACAAAGCACATGCATGGTTCTGTAGGACAGCTGTAAGCTCAAGTGGTAGGCAGTCTAGTAGAGCAGAGATCTGCACATGGCTGGTTATGCTGTCACCCAGGAGGGTAAAGGGACATACACATCTGAGGTGGATCAGAGTCCCTGGTGTGGAAGACTTCAGAGCATTTCCTTCTTAGGAGTACCCATGAAATTACAAAGCAAGGAATGCAACTGGACATGGGATGAGGGGTCACGACGTGTCTCAACCCCAAACACTTCTGCCATTCCTTACCTTGGTTTGGGTCGTGTGTTCTGCTGGCTTTTTCTGAATGATGTTTTTCAGACAAAGCTTCCTCACTTTTAGTATGTATGAGCCGTAACCTTGCTTACGGATGCTGTAGAATATTCTAGAACAAAAGGAAGTCTTTTGGGGCCAGCCGTTTCTACACAGCTGCCTGTCCTCTGTCCACAGCCTGGCTGTTAACAGGTGGGAAAGCCACAGCTCTGCAGCTTTTCAGGACTTCATCTGGTCAGTGCATGACTCCCACGTCTGCATATTCCTTTATACCTGGGATTAACAACTTTGCAGAAAGACAAAATGAAGTTTATTTACTTTTTGCAAAATGATGTGCTAAAATTTTAGGAGAGTTTACTTGGCAGAGACTTTGAGCTGAAGCGTGGTCAGGAACACTCCAAAGAGACATTGCTGGGACCAGAGCAGTCAATTTGGCATGCAGCAACTGTTTCTCATGTGCCACACACCCTTTCAGCTAACGGTAGAACAGGTTCCTCACTGATCGCTTTTTCTGTAGCCCCATGTGTTTAGCAGAGGAAGATAGTCTTGCCCTGTCATTTTTGACATGTGTACTAAAATAGCTTTTCAATCTGGTGATTTTTTAAAATCACAAATATGATCCCATTGTCTACTTTTAAACTCTTCTCTAGCACCCTCTGGCTCTTGAAGAGAATATTGAGCCCAGAAAATATTAGCAGCCCGGTCATAAAAAAAGATGTATTTTTCTTCATTTCTTCTCCGTTTCCCTCACCCTTTTTTCTAGTTTTCTCTGCAGCTCCTGCATTCTTCTTTATTCTCACATGGCTCAGAGCTTTTGTAGTCTTGGTCTTTTGCTCTAAAAATTTTTATCATGAGTTGCTTTTAACATGGTATTCCTAAGGCATGGTTTGTTTTCACATGAGTTTTGCCCCTGCGTCACGAGTTCGTGCTGGTGAGTTTCTTGTTAGCCATTGAGTCGGGTAGAGGTGGGATGCCCATGTGGGAGCCACGTGGGAAACGCGTGGGAGTGACCTCTGTTCTCTGCTCTTCCTGAGCAGTGAGGAAATGGTCATCGGCTGGCAGACCAGTATTTATAACTTGTGTGATTACTGCTGTTAAAATGTATGCTATTTTTAAATTTTTTTAAAGGAGTAAACTACAAATTCTTGTGAGTCCTAATTCCTCCTTATCCACAAAACAGTCAATGTTCCCGTGGAGTGGTTTGATCTATGTACACTGCGACGATGGACAGAAGGTACTTTTAAAAGTGGTTTGGATTTTTTTTTTTTTGGAGTGACATTTGTGTTACTTTGTAGCTTCAGTTTCATAATCCTTATTAGCGCTTACATTTCAAAAATCAAATGAAGGTATACTTGGCCCTTCATATCTGTGGGTTCCATATCCAAGGATTCAACCAACTGCAGATTGAAAATATTTGGGGAAAAAATGATACAAATAAATACAAATAAGTAACAACTATTTGCATAGCATTTATACTGTATTAGGTATTATAAGTACCCTAGAGATGATCTAAAGTGTACAGGACAATGTATGCAGGTTATGTGCAAATACTGTGCCACTTTATATACAGAACTTGAGCATCGAGGATTTTAGCATCCTCAGGTAGTCCTGGAACTAATCCCCCACGGATACTGAGGCATGATTATTTGTATTCTGAGCCCAACTAGGTTTATTTAATTAGCGCATTGGTATAGACTTCTTCCATAGTGATCAGAACAATTCTCTTGGGAAATGGGTGTGGAGAGTGGGGCGTAGAAGTAATTACTAATTTTCTAAATTTTCTTTTAAAAAAAAAAAAAAAAGTAGTGGGAGAAAGGAGATTTACCTTGAGGTCTAAATAAACTTTAATTCCTAAATTTATTGACGTCTCGTTTGTTTGGCATTTCTTTTCTCTACCATGATTTAAAAATGGAATTGTTTCTTTTAAAATGATAGCTATGTTTATATCTTATCTCTTTATTTGGCTCATTTCAGAAAATTGTAAAAGTTCAAATTCGAGAAGATTTAACTCAAGTGGAACTTTTAACTCGTTTGACCTCCAAACCATTTGGAATTCTTTCCCCAGTATCTGAGCCTTCATTTAGTCATTTGGTCAAACCAATGACAAAACCACCTTCCACAAAAGTTGAAATAAGAAACAAGAGTATTACTTTTCCTACAACAGAACCTGGTAAAACTTCAGGTATTGTGCCAGAAAATTATATAATTCCAATGTCTGCTGATATATTGATTCTGATGCTTTATTCTCAGCTGTAAGTTGGTGATAAATACAAATTTCCTCCTACTTGAGGAGAAAAATCAAGTGGCTATTAGCAATCATTTCAATGATGGGCTGGATTTGGGATCTGAACAGTCTTAAAATGTGAAACCTTGGCATTTACTAAGTTTGTGTATTCCAGGAATCCTAGGTTTTATTTGATGGTCAGAACCTTTCCTGTGTAACTCTCACCAGATCCTTGACCAAAATTGTTAATAAATTAGCAGTTGAAGAAGACAGGACAGTGGGTGGAGCCTGGCTTCATCACTTACTCACATGACATTGAGGCTCCAGACAGGTTCAGTAGACTTGCTTGGTTTCCCCATTTGTAAAATAGGCTTTGGAATTAACTTCTTCCACAGAGGACTTCAAGGATAAATTTACTAATTCCTGTTTGGGCAGCCCATGACTTATGGTGGCTTGATTTACCATTTTTTTTTGACCTGGTGATGGTGTGAAAGCCATGTACATTCAGTGAAAGTTGTGCTTTGATTTTTAACCTTGCCCTGGGTTAAAATGGTGCTTCACCCTCTTGTGATTCTGGGTTCCAGCAGCCCCGAGCCACAGCTTCTGGTCATCCCTGTGATCACAAGCGTGAACAGCCGATACTGTGTTCTGCAGTGCACTCAGTAGGTGACATGAGACTGTGGTCCTCATCAAATGACATGAGATATTCAACCCCTTATTATAAAATGGGCTTTGTGTTAGAGGATTTGCTCAACTATAGCCTAACGTAAGTGTTCTCAGCAGGTTTAAGGCAGGCTCAGCTAAGCTATATGCTGGGTAGGTCAGGTGGATTATATGCATTTTCCACTTAGGATAATTTCAGCTTAGGATGGGTTTATTGGGACATGATGAGCATTCATGTTCAGAAATAGTGATATATGTACAGCAGTTAGAATGGTGTTTGTTGTTTGTTAGGCACTCTGTATTGCTAATATTCCTCAGGAGTCCTGAGATTATTTATTTTTGTCCCTGTCCGTCTCTCTCACTGCTGGCTCAGGCTAAATGAGCAGTGTTGTTGGTGGGACCTGTTAAAAAGGATGTGGGTACATCTCTCGCCTGGCCCTCTTAACTCCTTGCCTCTCCATTGATTTTTTCTACCCACAGCCTTGCCCTCCTGATTCCCTCACCTCCTGGAACTTGTCATTCAACCCTGATGTTCTCTGATCTGAGCCTGGCACTTGCTGACTGTCGACCCTCTTCAGTTCACTCACCCAGGGCTCACAGCAGTTCTTTGGCCTCCCTGAGACCCCCCAGCCCGCTGGTCCTCTGTTTTGTGTTCTCTCCCAGCCTGCCATGCCCCTTTCCTCTTGTCACTCCATGGACTCTGAGTCTGTCCTTAGAGTTGCTGTTTCAAAGGCTTCCGTGACTGCCGTGTGCTCCTCTCCCTCTCTGTTCCTGCCTGGCAAGATCCCAATCCTGGCTTGCTCCAGGGACATAGCTCCTCCTGCCTCTACCCCAGCAGCAAAGCCACGCTGGAGGGAGCCACTCTGCCCTGCTGAGGGTTCCAGGTGCCCCTCCACACAGGCTTTGCTGCGTCTAGTGCTCTGTGTGTGTCCTGCAGCCCCCGCTCCCCTCTGCGGCTGGGGCCCTTCCTTCCTCTAAGAGCTCCTGCCCCCTCCTCTGCTCCTGCTGTCACTCTTCTTAACCACTGACTTTGCCTGACACATGAAAAATAGGCCCTGAGACCCAGTGAAAGGCTCTGTTTCCATCACAGGCAAACCCTCTGCTTGGAACTCGGTTTGTCCTTTTCACCTCTCAGGGGCTTCCTGTGTTCCCCTCTCTCTCCAGGGCCATCAGCTTCTGCCTCCTTGTTGTTACATCTCCACCAGCACCCAGTACACTCCACCATCAGTGGTTAAGAAGCATCTTTCTCGGCCCCCATACCCTTTCCTTGGAGCCGCCCCCTCTTAGCAGCCCCCTGCCCTCACTTCTGTAGGCCTTGGCTGCAGTTACCTCATGCCCGTCCTGTGGAGGTCACTGAAGAGCTCCATGTGCCAAATCCAGAGTCGGTTTTGTGTCTCGGTTGACTTGAACTGCCAGCACTGTTGACCACTCCTCCACTATGGAGCACTCCTCTGTGCAGCTGCCGTGCCCCAGTGCTCGAATTTTCCTGCTTTACCTGCTCCTGCTCGGATCCCTTGCTGACTCTTCTCCCCAATTTCTGAAGACTGGCCGGGTTCCGGCCTGGCCTGCTTGTGCCCTTCCTTCTCTGTGTTCTCCTGCTCAGTGATGGCCTGTGTCCTGTGACTCTCATGACTTCCCATGTGCTTGGGCCCAGGCATCACACCCTGGTGGCTGCTTGGCTCACATGTGGGCATCTCACAGGCACATCAGGTATAATAAGCCTAAGAGAGACCCTACACCTCCTCCAGGTTCACCCATGTCAGTAAGTGGTACCACTATCTGTCCATTGGTTATTTCTGATTTCTGATTTCTTCCTCCCTCCTCCCACTCAGTCCATCAGCAAGTCCTTTGAAGACTGTCTTCAAAGTAGAGGCCACACATGTCCACGTCTTTTTCACCCCTTTGCCATTGTCCACGCTGGAGGCAGTCACCATGTGAACATCTCAGAGCCAAACTGCTGCAGCTATAACTTACCTGGGCTTCCTTGTCCACTTCAGTGCCTTGCAATATCTTTTCTACAGAGCAGTCTGTAACACTTTAAAATTGTCAGTCATCTTACTGCTCTCTGGCATAAGCCCTTCAGTATCTTTGCATTGTACTTGTAATAAAACCTAAAACAATATCTAACATACCTGATTTTTTAAAGAAAATACTGTGGTTCCTGTTGAACTCCTTTAGGAATCTAATGATTGGGTTTTTCTAACCCCAGTTTGAGGTAGTAAGGCCTGTCACAGTCATCTGCTTGTTCTCCAGTCTGTCTGAGTTTGAGTTATGATACGTGTCTTCCTTTTAGAGAGCTGTCTGGAACTCCAGAATCATGGCACCATAGACGTGAAATGGCATCTGTCATCTTTAGCTCCGCCTTATGTGAAGGTCAGTCACGACTGCCTCAGATATAATCACTTTAATGTTTAAACTTTATTCAAGATGTTTTTAAAACTGACTACAAGCATTGGTTGATATTGCTGGTTATTTGCTTGTTTGTTTTCTGAGACAAAAGTCTTGTTCTGTCACCTAGGCTGGAGTGCAGTGGTGTGAACACTGCTCACTGCACCCTCAACCTCCCAGGCTCAAGTGATCCTCCTGCTTCAGCCTCTCATATAGCTGGGACCACAGGTATGCACCACCACAACCAGCTAACTTTTTGGTTTTTGTAGAGGTGGAGCCTCACTTCATTGTCCAGACTGGTCTTGAACTCCTGACCTCAAGTGATCCTCCTGCCTCAGCCTCCCAAAGTGCTGGGATTACAGGTGTGAGCTGCTGCACCTGAACTTGCTGATTATTTGTTCCACCAATTCATTTAGTTGGTTTTCTCTTTTGATGAGGATGATATATGCCCAGTCTTTTTCACAAAGTGGTTTTGAGAGTCAAATTAGAGAAATATGTGGAAATACATGTTTGCTTAATGTAATGCTGTCTTCTAGCCCTGATTTTATCTGAAATAACTTTATTTTGAGAAATATGTAAAAATTATATTTCTGAGCATTGTATGTGCTCATGCATGGCTTTCCCCTCGTGTTCTGAGTGCTAATGTATGTTCCCAGCCAGCAGTGCAGGAAAGGAAACTGAGCACTCTTTGCCAGTGAGTGGCAGCCTACTGTCTATGGTGCTAGTCTTCCAGGGCACCACCTGAAGTCAGTGTGTTTGACATTGGTGGTGTTTAGAACACTGTGGTCTCTCTGCCATGTATTTTGTGTGATGGCAATGGTTTTGAGTCATAATACTAACA